GCGATTTATATGGAAATTTCATAGCTTTGCTGTTGTAAGATATTACACAGTTTAAGATAATCAGCATGCTTTTGCTGGGTTTTCAGAAAAAAACATTTGCAGGGTTTCACATGACATAACAAAATTCTATAGCGCAATAACATTTATACAGCAGCTAAAATACAGATGAAATGCTGATTTTTGTTGTAATACACTGAGTTTACGTTCCCTTTGAGATATTTCATTCTGAAGGTTTAAAAACCTGACTAATGCAAAATATAGGACCTTTAAATTGACAAGTTATGCCTTTAAATCTAAACTGTAGTCATGTTGAAGTGGGACTTACAGCAGTGCAGGTGGCTGGGGATGGAGGGATGGGGGAGGAGGAGGTGGTGGAGGTGGGAGTGCTGCTGGAGTGGAGGTACATCTCGTCCTCCATGTTGCCCTGACCCGACGGAGACGTGGCCACTAGTGCTGCAGCTGCAAGAGGGCAGACAAGTGTCTGAATGAACGGCAAAGGTAATAATCCATTCATAAAACCCATTTATTTTTCCCAGAGACTTTTTGAAGTGCGATGTGTCTATGACCATAGACACACTACACACAAGAGGATTTCTGGTCCAACTTGAAGCCAGATTTGTCTGTCTACAAGTATGGGGAGATGTGGCTCAAGCAACTTTTCTCATAAGTGACTATTTGCTGTGGCCCTCCTCATGTCTGTGGGGTCAGTGTGATTCTGTTACAATCATTTATCAGGTCGCAGCTACAAATCCTCAAACTGTACGGTTCCAACATGTTGTTATATTATATATGAGTATATTATTAAATATTACTGCATTGTCTTTAAAAAGAACCTAAGAAGTTAAAGTATATAAGAAGACATAATGAACATCATTGGCTTATTAAATATTGTCGCTTGCATTTTACTTTACAACAGCCAGTTAGAACAGCCAGGCTGCAGATGCCCATTGCCTGGTGATAGCTCTTAAACTTTAGAAATATTAGAGGACACCAGAACGGAAACGAAAACTTTTTTATTACTGTCATCGCTACAATGACTCTTAAGCTCCAGCTCATCTTCAGAAACAAGAATTAATCCACACGCTTTTTGTTTAATTTTTGCTGTGAATAAAAGTGAATCCTCATGTGTCTGTTTTCACGAGACACCCCATTTAATGATGTGACAGTTTGGTAGACCTTTAGTTGAACTGTCCTTGATGTAAGCGTGAGAGGAATAATAGTTGCTACATGTCCTCATGTCTGCGGACTGTGCACTTCACTTTGTGTCAAGTATTAAAATATCAGAAGTTTTTTAATTCTCCTAGTGTGCAGCCGGCCTTGAGCAGCAAGATTCAATAAGATCAAATATAAATCACAATTTAAATTGCTAAGCTGCACTTAGCAGATTGCACAGGCTACAACAACATTCATTTAAGCAGTACCAGATAGGTCTGTTTTATATCATATTGGAACATTTCAAGCAAACCAATACCATCTTCATAAAGACGAGCAGGTAGAGAACATAAATGTCGCCAGGAAAGATACAAAGTGCATCTTTACACAAGTGCAAACATATTAAATCTCAATGCTAGCACAAATCACACTCATATTTTTTTTTAAGTCTTTTTAAAAAATGTTTTAAATCAATGGGATTTAACTTCAGGAGCCAAAACTACCCACCCATTGTTAAAGGTGTACTATGTAACTTTTCTGGTGTTTTTTTGTAAATAGGTACCTTGCATTTTTACTGTGAGCAGTAAGAATGTAACTTTATAACTTGTAAGATGTAACTTTTGTTTCTATGGAAATAGGTAAGTTGAATGACAACTACTATTGTAGTTGAAGCAATAGCATCTTCTGGCCTCTCCGCCAGAAAAGTTACACAGTGCAGCTTTAAGTCCTACAGCACTAGTATCATAAGATCAATAGCACTTGTACTCACGGATGTCCTCTAGATCCAAGTCGTCGTACAGGAATTCATTCTCTTCAAAGTCTGGGTCTTGAGAGGAATCTATGTAGTACTCAACGTCGTCCTTAATCTTTTGAATAGCATCCACTGGCACAGAGTCGTTGTCTAACATGCGTAATATGGTCTCCAACATTCGAATGTGAAATCGATGCCTCTCAATTAACCGCTTTAGTTCATCAATGCGATCTTGTTTCTGTGTGACAACAATAAAAAAAACTGTCAGAAGAGGAACACCAAATCTAAGCGATTGAATTGGTTGGTTTTCAGATACCTCTTTGTCTCCTTTCTTTTTTCTTGTTTGGACCGAGAGAGATTCGACTTCACTTTCAAACTGATCCACCTGCATGTTTAGCGTGTCTATCGTATTCTGAAGAAATAAACAGATGAACAGATAAAATTAATACAAGATACTGGCAAATTTTCTCTCCCAAAATCTAATGGTGTGTCCACAATTGCATATAAACCACATCATAATTGGAACTAGACTAGATCAAGATTAATTCCAAGACTCGAGCAGGACCAATGCAAATCTACATCAGGACTAAACTGGTCTCAAAACAAAACCAAACCAGGTGTGTGAGAGCATACTAAAAACAATAAGAGGAACAAACTGATTATTTTTTGCCTCTTGCATCTTTCTAAAATACAGCTTAAGAGATTTACTCCAAAAGGTGTAAATGAAACGATCAAAACCATGTCACCATAGCCTCAGTCCAAATCTGGGGTTAGAATGGCACAAACAAAATGCTTAACCTGCAACAAGTAAGGCTGTGCAACTAATCCACTTTTAAACAAATTTTCAATTAATGCTCCAATCAACTACAGAAAATGTGTAAAAAAACATGATAAGGGGCCTCAAAAAACCTGGAACAAAATCTCTTTTTCCATTTACAGTGGCAAAACAGCATTGACAAAACATTACTAACACATGATATTACCTGTCGTACCAAGCAAGAAGGCAAGATTATTTAGTTCATCAACAATTGTGATTATTTAGGCCACAAATGAATCATGAGAATATAATAATATAGACTGTGACTATTTAAGAAGCAAACTGAACACTCCAAAAAGTAACCTGGTACTTTTTCACATTAACCTCAATCTGTCAGGAAGGCATTTCATACAGTTGGAGACATGGAAATTAGATTATTAGACAATGGAAATTAAAAACTATAATAATCATTACACAGTGATCTTTCTATTCATGATAATCATATCACTACAAAATACAATAATGTGACATACCTATTCCCAAGTCAGTGCAGTGTAATAGAGGGTGCATTACCGTTAACCACTGCCCCGTCTCCTCCTTTTCCCTCTGAGCTGGATCCACTTTTTGAGCGAGTCCTAAACCTTCTTTTGAGTACGCTTTTGTTTTTGTCTCACGCTCCACAACTTTGAACCGCTCCATTTGCTGACAAAAGAATAAACACGACATTATTACCTCTTCATAAAACAAAAACACTTGTAAGTAGATACTGCTTACCGTTTCTATTAGTTTGCGGTTCTCCACTAGCTGCCTTTTGTCTTTGATCTCGTTTGACGCGACCCATGTTTTTATCTGGTCTCTTAGTCGCTAAAGACAACAGATTACATTACGTTCTATTCACTGAGAGCTTTGTGACAGCAATAACTCCATAATGATCTTACCTGTAATTTTTTAATCTCTTTTTTGAGGTCAGCCTCATACTTTTCCTTTTGGTTTGCATTGGCTGCATTATGAAGCTTGAATACAAAAAATAACTTGTATTATGATGGTTATAAGGGATTTGCAACATCTATGCATTAACCATCTCTACCTTTTGCCAGATGTCTTCAAACTGTTCTACACCTTCTGCTACTTTTTTCAAACATCTATCGATTTCACCTGAGGAATAAAAAATAACTTATTCAGTACAAAGTTATGCAAAGCGAGAAGTTAGTTCTGTATGATGCAGCATTGCCTTCAAAACCAGCACATGGTGGGAGCATTTGAGATGTGAAGGGAAACCACTGATGCAAAAGTGTGCAGCAAACATGAGTGAGTTTTACCTTGTAGTTTTCTCTTGTCAGCCATGGCTCTGACTACGACACTGTCCACATTCCGTCTGTCACAGTTAGATGCGTGGAGGTAACACACTGTCTATCTTAATACAGAGACACAGAGTCAACATCCTTCAATAAAAGCGATGTTTTCAGAGTGACGGTAACACGAGCCCAACTGTGAACATTCACATTAGCTGCATAAAGATCCTCACTTCAAATCATCATCATCACGACACTTTCTGTGCACTACCACAGAACCGTGCACCTGACACTTACAAGAGTGATCGCGGAGTGCATGAATTGTTCTCACCTACAATAAGCAATCTGAACAATTAGCATTAGAGCTAACGTTGGTGCTAGTCAGTCCTGAGCTCGTTTTTAACCCGCTTCAGCCCAGGATCAGAGAGCTGTGCTAAGGATGACCCGTGTTTTCATGCTTCGATGTTTCTGGAGCCCAGCAAAGATTTTGTGTTGTATTATAGAGCTGGGGAACTTACATCTGATATTAGACCGTTCAAAACGAAAGCCTACGAGCTAATTTAGCTAAATGCCTGCCTCGCTAATGCATAAATGCTAGCTAGCAGCTTAGCTAGTCAAATTTAGGAAAAAGGGAAATGGGTTACGCGAGAATCTATGTTACATGTTTACGACATTTACCTAAGGTAGGGGCTTTCGTTTGTCTTTTTTCAATTACAGCCAAAACTAATTCCAAAAAGTCTTCTTCACTTCCAAATTGTGTTTTCTTTTCGACAGGCTCGCTCTATATTGTAGCTGAAGATGGACGGTAACTAAAGTCCCACCTCCTCCCGCGGGCCCGCCCCAAATCACACCTCGGGACCTGATTGGACACTGCACACGCCTGTCAGATGTACGGCACCCGATTGGACAATGTCAATGTCTGTCACTTGGACACATCCGCTGTAATCTCTCCATTCTACAGACTGGGGCCACAAGAGCACAAACTAATAAATAAACAAATAAATATAAACCTCAATTTACTGTTTTTAAAAAAGATGGAACCTTCAAATTCATTTGACAAAAATAAAATTCTATTTATATTTGAGAATCATATGAGAAAAAACTTTCTTTACAAAAATGTACATACAGAGTCATAATGGTTAACAATTATGGTATAAAAATGTAACATAATGATTTAGTACAGTTAAAAAAAAAAACACTCTTTACACACAAATTAAGTCAGTCTGTATAATCATTCTAATACACTAGTGAATACAAACAACAGATAGAAACTAAACAAAAAATACTATTTTCTAATTATTTTGAGTTTTGTCTCAGTCAGTGTTGTAGGAGCAGAGTGACAAAGAGGGAGGGCTGGGAGCATCTCCAAACTGGGTCTCAGCCAACGCCGACACGTCTGCTTCAGCCTAGTAAAACAGACCACAGCAAAACGTGTAAGCAAACATTATTATTCACATTAGAGTTCAATGATATGGTAAACATGGTACAGTTAGTAGTGTTGCTTCTTCTGGGAGTTCATACTTTTCTCTGACTGGTAAAATCCACCTGACACTCAATGAAAGCATGTTAGCACCTGACCAATAGGAGGAGAGCGTGGGAAAAGTAGATGGCATGAGTTTATAAAGCTGTCCTAAAGAGAAAAGCACTGTGATAATCTCTCCACGGGGAAAGAAGAAAAAAAAGAGAACTTTATTTATCTCATAGAGATTCACTTCTCAAGGCTGTGACAAGTGCAGGTGCAGATGGTTACATGACTAAGAATTTGGGAACTACACTCTTCTCTATTTCTATTTAATTTTTTTCTATTTTATTTTCAATTTTATTTTGACTTGTACATAGATATTTATAAAATTATGTTTTTTGACACCTGTCTCTCGCTACCTTTTTTTGCTTCTTATTTAGAATTAATTATCACCATTTATATTTTTTCTCTTTGTTATTATATTGTATTGTGACGTGTGAGCTACTGTGTACAAATAATTTCCCTTGTGGATCAATAAAGTTTAAGTCTAAGTTTTCTGACAGCTTTGAAGCACCTTATTGACACTTAGCACTTTGAGCCTACTATTACACATACAACATACTTGCACTGTACCTGGTTGTTGTATTGATACAAATTAGTTTTTCTCTCTCATCTTCTGTATATTATTTGTGTTGCATCTGTTTTTTGGGTTAAGTGCTGCAACTAAAACCCCCTAGTGGGACAAAGAAAAACTAGAACTTGAACAACTAATCGTTATATAGTACAAATGAAAAGTAAAGATAAACATATTGAAACAAAGGAAATTATTACCACTATAAACGTTACACAACATTAACTGAAATTGTGACAAATAAACTTGTACCTGTTGTTCTTTATCCTTTTCTTGCTTTGGGATGCGGTGTCTCCTCTTCTTTTGCCCAGTGCTGTTTTGCACCAAGCCCCCGTTCAGCTTGTCCTCGTCCAGAGCAGGAGCATTAGAGTCCAGATTTAGACCAGAGTCATCCTAAAAAACACAGGGGGGATTCTGGTGTGGTTATAATTGAAAAGGCAATTCCTTTAAGAACACAAAGATCTTACCTCGAGCAGAATGGTGAGCTGAGCCTTTCTGTAGTCGTCTCCATGAGCATCAAGAGTCTTCATGAGGAAACTATAATAGAATAAAAAATAAAATAAGGTATATGTATGTAAAACTGTAACCTGGTTGTTTTTATGAGTATGTTATTACTTCGCTTGTTCCACACTAACATTAAGCTTACTCATCTCTCGTACTGCAAAAGTGGAATGGTAATGTACAAATGTGTGGAAAAAATTACCGTCTTTCCTTCTTCAGTCGACGCGTTATTCTTTGGACTTGATGAAGGCGCCCAAGTATTTTCTGATTTACCTATTACAGAAACGACTGCAGTGAGTCATGCATTGCGATTCATATGCTTTCTTGAAATGGGTTTTTCAAAACTTTTGGATAAGATAAAAAATTCTGTAATAGGCATGTAATATTCAATGGCCACAAATGAGGATGGTGTGATTTATAATGCATGATTATGGAAGAAAGAAGTAAGAACTGTGTGTGGAGAAAGTTCCCGAAAATACTGCAAGTTAGAAGATGCTGGGGAGGGTGAAAAAAATGATCAACAGGGCGGTTTCTGTTCATAAAACTGTCTAAATGTTCTTCCTCATTGTTTTCATGTCATTCATGTTATATTTTCTTTGATTTTGGCTTTTAAAAATGGTAGTAATAAGGTAAGTCCAATATTTTAATATATGTGCTCTGTGATATCTCTTGTGAAAATACCATGTAACTAAAATGGAAATCTGAGTCTTGTCCCCATCTGGGAATATGACATAATCACAGTTTAGTCTAGTCCTACCTGTTCTATTTCTTTACATCGCCGGCTCAGGGCGAGGTACTTCCTTTTATCTAGAGCTCTCCTTTGTTCATCTTCTTGTGCAGCACTCTCCAGCAGCTCTTTGTCCCCTGAGCCCAGTTCAACCTGTAAGGCGAATAAAGATGGATTCAATTTCTGATTACCGGTACATGTAATATAGATTTTAAAACCACAATGGGAGAAATCCATACTGAACATAAGATATAGTATTACTATAGAATGTACCCATGTCTCTCCTTAACCATTTCTCAAATAAAAGAATTAAAAACATAATGAACACAGAACAAAAATGCCTTTAGTTTTATCATCTAGCTCGTATTACTTTTTATTTTTGAAAACTATCAAGAGTGTTCATGCATGGTAATGTATATCTGCTTGAATGATGATCTAATTAACTAACTAGTTTTAGAATTAAATTGTTTAATATTGGGATTTTTTATAACTTGAAAAATGTATGTTTTGTTTCGCTCAGTGGCATTTCTGGTGAAACAGAAATAGAAATAGCCAACAGAGCCTACAGAAGTTCATGAAACTCGAACCAACCAAATAACCTTTTTGCTTATGGCCAAGACCTTAATGTTCAGCAAACAATTGCAGAAGTTAGAATCCATACTAATCCATTTTTAAAGCAAATATACATTCCCATATAAATTTCTACATTGTTCACATGCCTCTCCAGGTCCCAGCTCAACCTCTCCTGGCTCCAACTCTGCCTCCAGGATATGTCCCCCAAACAGAGGAGGCAAAGCCAAGCCCGAGAAATCCTCCATGGTCCAGGGATGAGACGCCTCACATCACCATGGGCACAGATTTCTATCATAAACAAAGATATGAAACAGTTATTGAAATCACATCCGTATACTGTTGCAGCTATGCAATATTATAAAGTAGTTAAATATGGCGCAAAATTAACTTATGATGATTTACATTTCCAGGTAAATCACATACCTATTTTTACCGAGACTAAACCAGGTATAATCCTGGTTTAGTCCTGGTTTAGCTCTAATTTAGTGCTTGTTTACATCTGATATGATTTTGGTTTAGTCCAGTTTTAGATTTGGCTTAGTTCAGGTCCAGTAGTACTGGAAAAGCTAACTTTTTAAGGTGTGACTTCCAAGGTGTGTGTCTCTGGAAATCTTACTTACTTTGTTATAACGTCAAGCAGCTTGTTTCTGTTGGTTCTCCGGTTTTATAGCTCCACTTAAATCCGTAAAACACTCAGACTAATTACTGCACTATTTTCTAACCTACGGAAAGAAAAAAAAACAAGAAATAACCATAAGAGACTGCAAAAATACAACTGTTGTTTTTAGCCTTGCAGTGTCGCAGGAAATAGACGTAATTTCCTAGCGACTACGTTTCCCATGAGCACACGCGCTACAGAACTACAACAGGCAACATGGCGGGTACGTGAGCGTTTTTAATCTCTTTTGCTCTTTTTGTACTTAAATCATGTAGAAATGCCATTCCTCTAAAATTATCTCTGCATTAATCATATAAATTGAATGTCTATGTGTGTCTTGAATTTGTAAAACGAAATCGCGTAGTTTTAAAACGCAATGGAAACGTGACCTTGGTGCTTTGCTAACAACAGCTATTGGTTTGCGCATTGATTGATCTGCCTTTATCAGTGTATTAGGACATTTGTGTTTAGTTTATATACTAAAATATATGTGGGTGAGTAGATGTCAATATTTAAATGGCCCATATTACGCTATTTTCTGATTGTATTTCTATGTTGTAATGTTGTTTCCTCATCAAAAACAGACCCGGAGTTGTGTTCTGTTTCGTTCGCACAAGTTTAACACACAAACCCTGTGCATTTAGGTTGTGTTGTTCTCTTGCACTGAAAACACTTTGTTCCACCTTGTTCCACTGTGTTTTTTAACTCTACTGATCCCTACTGAAGAAAAGTAAAAAGAAGCTTCTAACATGAAAACTACCACTACATGACATCACAACGTGGAACAGAGCACTTTGAGCTTTGGAAATGTAGACAGATAATAAATAAAGGGTTACTCAGACATGTGTGAATGAAATAAAACACAACGTCAGATATGTTTTTGATGATGTAACAACATTATAACATGACTCAAAGCTCACAAGGGTCAATTTCGCATTTAATGTGTTTTTTGGTCCCCAATACATGTTCCAAATAGAAAATTGAAAACAAAACCGATGTGTCCAAATACTTTTATTACTAATATAATTTTATGTCTCTGTTTTAATTAATAAACAGCCATTTAAGGCAGTGCATACTAGGGCATTACCGTATTTCTCTCTGTTATTGCTTTTTAAAGTGTATTATTATGTGAAATCTGTAACAGGATTCATGGGTTTCCTGAAAAATGCTTGGAATAAGGAACCTGTCATCCTGGTGTCGTGTGGCATTGGACTACTAGGTAAGCCACTATGGCACTGAAATGTGTTGAAAAAAAATAATAAATCAAATAACATACATATGCATACATAATGTAATACATACACAAATGTAATTCTGTGTTTAAACTTATTTTTCAGGTACTGTTCTTCCATTCGTCAGCCCATTCACAAAGTACTCTGGAATGATCAATTCAGCAGTACCGTTTAATTATCCTGGTAATTCTTTAAAGACTACATTGTTTTTCCTGATTCCTTGAATTACATTTCGATAATTTTACGTGTCTCTTTTGCAGTCCCAGTACGAGATGACGGAAACATGCCTGACATTCCTGCCCATCCAACTGAACCAAAAGGAAACAATCTTGAATGGTTAAAAAAATTCTAACTGTTTCTCAAACCCAAAATCTGGGCATGTCCATGTTTGTGTTTCGCTTCCCTGTCGGCCATGTTTGAAAATAAAGAGTTTATTTATTAGTCCTGTTTGTCTTTGCTCTGTTTAGGTGTGTGTGTGTGTCTGTGTGTGTTTATTTTATTTTTCAGAAATCATTATTATGAAATGTTATTACACAAAAGCCTTGGTCTAATTTCCTAGTAGTCCTGGCTGACAGTGTGGACCGACAACTCCTCCAGTCACATCACAACCACTGTATCAGAAAGAAAAAAACTTGAGACTGATTGTTATGGTTTATTTGAAGACATTTTGTACGTCTCATACATACATTTTATACAGAATAGTAATATACATTTAATTAGGGATATCTATCTATAATCTGATTTCACAGCTCAAGACAAAACATGACCTACATTTTAATATAATGTAAGTTATGAACTGGCCAACCATGAATTTCACTTCCCATTTACTTTCTCTGTCACTTTCAAATGGCATCTCTTAAACTTTGTTTAATTTTCTTTCAAATCTCTTTCTCTCTTTCAGTCCACACAAGGCTTTACAGAACCTTCCTTTACAAGTGTCTTTCTAAAAGCATTTAATAAAAAAAAAACTTTCAAGAGATCAATTAGTAACAATCAGAATCCAGTGCCGTGGTTCACATAGATGACAAATCGTTAAAAAAAAGGTAATGTGAACATTCATACTAAATATACAGCAAAATGTGACACCTGCACTATATACACTCAATATGACCACTATATTTGAAGGTCCCGTACTACACAAAATTAACTCTTGTGAGCTTTAGGGCCTGTTGGAATGCCGTCACCTCATCAAAAACAGATCCGGAGCTCTGCTTTATTTCATTCACACATGTTTGTGTAATCCTGCATTATTAGTCTCTCTACATCTCCACAGCTCAAAATACTCTGTTCCAACTTTAAACTGTAGTTTTCAAATTAACTGCTAATCTTCACCTTTTGTCCTGTAGAGATTGGCAAATTCAGGATTGAAATGATCCAAATCATTCTAGTGAAGGTGTATGGAGTTTAAAAACACAGTGGAGCACCTCCTGTATTACCACATGACATCACAAGGTGGAACAGAGTGTTTGTGTTTGAAAGAAGGGCACAGTCTAAATGTGGATTTTGTGTTGAATCAGTCAATGGAACAAAACACAACTGCAGGTCTGTTTTTGAGAAGGAAACATTATAACAGATCAGAAAATAGTGTAGTATGGGTCCTTTAATGTTATACTTAGATGGGATTAAGTAAAGATAAATTTTCCTATATATTTTTACACACAGCCTGTATGTAAATTTGTAATGTACAGAAATTCATTAATTACAGTAATCTAGAAAAGGCCTTGACAATGAGAATCCTTTAATTACTGGTGTGTGTATATATAATATTTATGAAGTAGGAGCCTGTCCTCTTCAGATCCTTATAAAATCTACATTTAATATTTAAAGATGCAATGTGTAACTTTCCCGGTGGAGGGTCGACTAACAGCTTATTTCCAGAAGGTGATGTCTTTGTTTTACCAGGAATTTTCTACAGTAAACACATCAATTTTCAAAGAAGCAAGTGATGCCACAAGGCCAAGTTACAGGTCAGATCTGTGCAGAGGTGACTACGCTGACGATAAGAATGCTTAAATGTTTTTTAAGGTATTTTTGAACAATAAAAATACCTGTATTTGACTTAATGTGCGATAGATACATTTTATGGCGTACTGTGGAACATTCCAGCCAAAGCAGTAACATCTCCATGGAGACAATTAGGTGGCGGACCCTCTACCTGAAAAGCAGCATAGTGCACCTTTAACTTTTTGGAGCCAGTCCCTACATCACCTAGTAAAATAATCTCAAATCAAAAACAAGATCTGCATTTTAGTTTAAACTACAAAAGCTGAAAATATGTCAACAAAATACTTTTTAAAATCTATTCTTACATACATCTGTTTGCCATGAAAGCAAAACCAGTTGTGTTATCACGTTTGCATCTGACAGATTTAAAAAATACAGTTTTATCAACAATTGTAAAACAAAACTGGTCAAATATTTCCAGGACTTGAGCAGAGTAGCACTGAGGAAATAACCCGTTGGATGTTCTTGTTGAAGTGAATAACTCACTCAATGATGGGAGCAGAGCGATCATTGGTAACAGTTTTTCTGAGTCGAATGTGCGCAAATGGATTTGGCCTGAAAAGTAAAATTAATAAACAATAGTGGATTAACAATAGATAAAAGTATATACGCTTTAAGACTCTTGGAAGTAAAGAGATAAGGAGAATAAGTCAGGAATGGGACACAGAACGAGACACAGGATTTTGAGAAAAGTTAAAATAAATGGGTAAGATCAGTTCAAAATTTTGGCTGTAACAATACAACAACGAGTACATATTTTCACCACTATTGTTTGCACTAGTTATCTTTTTGTAACTACCTGGTTGGTGATGGAGGTGGTGGGCCCAGTGCTGCAGAGATCTATGGCACAGAAGAGGAAAAAGCATTGGCACAAGTTGTTTTATTTTGTACAAATATAACCTGGGTGTGCTGACCTTGTTGCCCTCGGCGATGCTGTACGGCCTCGGGCGAAAGGTGCTGATTCTCGGAGGAACAGGTTTCTCCTCTTCAGACTCCGGGGTCAGAGCAGGCAGCCCAGATGAGCACAGTTTATCCAGTTGTCCAGTGCTGGTGCTATTTACTTTAGATAACAACAAAGAGCTACAAGAAAAACACATGGAAAATAAACATGGTGAGGTTAGGGTGACCAGGAGTTCCTATTTCCTCGGGACGGTCCCAGTTTTGAGCCCTGTGTCCCCTATCCCAGAAGATTTTTCCAATTTTTCCAGTGATTTGTCCCAGTTTTATACAAGAAATGTCCCAGGTGTCCCTATTTTTGACCAATTTGATCCTTGCCAACAGTAAAGAGAGGAATACATTGTCATTAGTTTAGGTAAAATACAGAAAAGCTGCTTAAAAATGACGAAAACAAAAAGAAAATGGACTATACTGACTCATGTTACTCTTGAAGGGTCTCTGCATAACAATTTTCAATAATTATGCACTCATTTCACAATTTTATTATTACCAAAATCCAAAAAAAACGGGGATGTCCCAGTTGAAATTCTGGGTAAGGTAAATTCTGGGTAAGGTAAACTGTAACTTGATGTGACAGTGATGTTTGTAGATTATTTGAGTGGCGGTTTCAGGATATTTTTCTCAAGTAGCTTATTTCTTTTACTTTTGATTAGTGCACACAAAAAAGGCAATATTCCAAAAACTACAGAAAAATGAAAGAAATTGCAGTGAGACAATGGAAAGGTTTTGAAATAATTAATACATCTATAACTTTTAAATCTAGGTTAGTATTTGTATAGAACATAATCTACAAACTACTTTTATTTGACTTTTGCCGTAAACAATTTTAGACCTACCCCTCAGTATTGTCGATGTTACTGTTGAGTGGTTGGGTGTAGGAGAAAGGGAACCAGCCTTTTCTGTAATGTAAAAACAAAAATTTTAAAGGCAAATACTGAATTAATACATTTTTATCTGGTATCCCAAACACGACCGTACCGTCCCGTGCGGTCGTTTTGCCCATAGTGCCACCCGTCTCTCGGCTCAGAGATCAGAAGCGAGATGTTGTCGCCGGGCAGAAAAGGCAGGAGACACGCCCCTCCACTGACTCCGGTCTGGGGCTCTGGAGTGTGAGCGAACAGGGCCTCCACTCGAGTAGGGCCCAGGAGAGGGAGGAGCCGAGGAAGAGTGGAGCCTACGGCAGATAGAGGCGAAGAAAACATTTGCAATTAAGTATTTGTGCTTTTCATATCACCCCATTACAACATTTTAAAGTATATTTTAAAACTGAAGGGAAGAATGTTAAGTTTAGAATTTCAAGTTGTAACTGTGTAACTTTTCTAGTTATCATTTTGCCAACACAGTATGGCCTTAAACTTATCTATATTGCATGCATTCTCACGTTTACATAGTGCACCTTTTGATATAATGTAAGTGAAATGGTGCCACAAATTTGTGAAACCAATCTCTAACAAAAACCTTTCAGCATATACTAGATTTTCAGTTTGGTTATTTCTGTCTCCCATTTGCCCTCCATCTGAATCTTGATTGCTGGATTTTAAGTGTCACTGCAGTCCAAACACAGCTGCTAATGAGTATCACGTGTCTCTCAAATGCAGAAGACATCTCCTCTCAAAAAACCTCATAACATTCAGAACAAAATCTATAACTTGTTTTGCCTGAGAAAAATACAAGTATAGTGCCTCGAATGTTGATTCTCAATCTTCCAAGTTTGTATTTATTTATTTATTTTTTTTATGTATAAGCTGCCATGTTTCTTTTGACATGAATTGACCATGTGTCATGTGTCTCTCTGACTGGATAACTGAGGAGATTCCAGACCAGACCTACGCATGTTGCAAAGTTTTGTCATAGCATGTGCTTTTAGCTGGCCAGGTAAGGTTATGTATGCATCTAACGTTTAACAGAGATGGACTATCTGTTGGCTGTTTACTAGAACCGTCAAAGATGGGAATAGGCCTACAACGGCAGAACTACCTAATGATAATATAAAACTTGCCTCCACCTCAATCATCCATATGCTGACCCCATCTGATAGTGTGACCTCACCAGTGGTGTAGTGGGGATTTTTTAAGTGTTGGCACGTGATTCATGATGTCATAGATGTAAAACCAGGACTACAGCAGGACTAAACCAGGACTAATCTTGGACTTGAGAGTGAGAGAGAGAACCCCAAGCCTGCGGAGCACAGTGTCCGCAAAGTGCAACTGAGCAACAGCTGCGCTTAGCCTCGTGGGGTGTGGAGCACTGCGCTGGTCCTTTCTCCTGTGGTCACCCGACAGTCTACGTGGGTGCACCTCCGGGCGGGTTCCGACACTCAGCCCTGGTTCAGTTCTGGTTCAGTCCTAGTTTAGTCCTATTTTAGTCTTGTTTAAGTCCTAGTTCAGTCCTCCTGTTTCAGTCCTGGGATCAGTCCTGGTCCCCTCATGTCTCAGGTCACTATAGGACAGTACTGCAGATATCATGAGTCTATGCAGGTTGTTTTCACCATTGCCAGTAGCTCAGGTTTGACATTTAAGTTGCAGCTATTTTATATTGTTATTTTCATATCTCACATCCGGTGGGTGGACGGTGTATCCCCACATAACACACCCACTACACCCCTGGACCTCACATTACAGAATCTGAAAATGACCAGTAGCTTTACCTTGGAATCCAGTGTGTCTGTTCTCTGCCCCGGGGCGTCTGGGCAGTGGCAGTGTGGCAGTAGCAGACATCTCCACCCCCCTCAGGAGCCAGGGGTTATGTGAGGGCTGGAGGCTCGACCCGGGACCTGCCCCCTGTAGGAGCTGCACAGGGGTCATGGATCTGGAGAGGGGTGCACTGTGGGGCAGAGGTGGACTGTGGGGGGCGCTGTGGGAGATGGGGAGGGTCATGCCCTGAGCGGAGCTGGAGCTCGGGGGCACCTGGCTGAGGGGCATGACGGTGGACGGGATGAGGCACGGAGACAGGTTAGACGTGTTTGTGGAGAGGAGCTGTCCTGGACCTGAGCTGAGAGGAGGAGAGGCAGCAGGACCCAAGCCACCTACGAAAGTCACAGGTAATAAGTTAATCTTCCATAGAGGTTATGAACTGATGTCATTTTGTTCCAAAAAAATGCATCTCAACATCCCCAGCATGTGTTTCTTAGCTTTTTTATCCCCTCATTTTTGTCTGTGGCATAATTATTTTCACCCCATAGCAATTAGTTCTTCCACACAGGGACTTAAAAATTTCTTATTTAAGGAGAGGAAGATTTAATTCAACTGTGTAACTGTTATCTAATACTGTTAAGTTGATTTTAGTAAGTAAGTAAAGTTTATTTATAAAGCACTTTTCACAGACATATTGAAGGTCACAAAGTGCTTCACATACAAACGATAAAAAACAGCATAATATACATTCATAATAAAATCAGTCATAGCAGCTCAAAATCTGATGGGGCGGGAATGCTTGTTCAAAGAGAAAAGTTTTTAGTTTCTTGTTAAACGCATCTACACTATCTAGAGAGGGTAGGTAAGGAGGCAGTTCATTCCAGAGTTTAGGGGAGACAGCTTGAAAGGATCCGTCGCCTCATGTTTTAAAGATTGTCCGAGGGACCTTGAGCAAGTTTTGGCTGGCAGACCTCAGGCTATGGGCAGTGGTGTACGGCTTTATCAGATCTGTGATGTAAGCTGGAGCCTGGACCCTAAAGGTCAGCACCAGGATCTTAAAGTGGACACGAAAAAGAACAGGGAGCCAATGTAAGGATTTTAAGATCAGAGTGATATGCGCTCTCCTACTGCAGCAGGGCAAAGAGCAGAGTTTTGGACCCTCAGCAGCCGGGTAAGTACATTACCATCTCTAACTCAGCTTTAGAAATCATCATGCGAAGTTTAACTGTGTTTTGCAGTTGGAAAAAGCAGTTTTTAGTGAGCTGCTTAGAGTGGTGTTCTAAAGATGTCGCATCATCAAAAAATACTCCTAGATTTATTAAGTTGTTTTTAGTTGAATTTTCCAGCCTAAGTGCTGTTTAATGTTGGGGACAGCACTTTCTGGGGCAACAATAAGAGTCTCAGTTTTGTCTGGATTCAACTGAAGGCTGTTATCACTGTTTTAGAAGTCAGTTACAAACTAAATATTTAGCACAATTGTAGAGTGTTGTATTTGTTATTAAATGTAGCAGCTCTTTCGCATTTTAGATGTGTTTTGAGCTCTTATAGAAGTCAATGTCATTACTTGTTCACTAATACATTTCCAGTGGTTGTGATGTTGTGATGACCTCTACAGTGATTGTGAGGGTCAATAAAACAACAACAATGAAAACATTCACAATATAATCATATGAATTACAGTAATTATGACTTCGATTTGTCAACTTGCCTAACTTTTTAGTTTGTGGATCATTATTGAATGTATGTCTCCAGATCTTGAACTAGGTTAGGCCAGGACTAACTAAGATGAAGATTTTTTCCTATCATGCATGTTTTGGGCTGCCAGTTATTGTGACTAATCAAAAAAAAAAAAAGGATTTCTCTTTTCACAATGATGAAAATGTGATAATTTAACATTGTAGCCCCACCTTCAGAGAGGGGCGTGCTGCAGTGTTGTGGAGATGCTCCAGATGAGGACCCCCCTGTGGCTCCCCCGGACTCAGAGGAGGAATGAGCAGCTTGGGGGGAGTCCTGGGACAGAGAAGGGTCGCTGTGAGAGGCTGAGGGAACAGAGCGCTGCTGCTGTGACCGGCCCGAGTCCCCGTTCTGCAGAGGCGGCACCTCCTGAACTGACAACCTCTGAAAACAAAAAGGTCACAAGATACATTTGTAAAATGTTTTCATGTATTCCATCATTAGATGTAAAACCTGTGCCTCCTCCTGTCTTACTATATCCTGTCTCCACAACTTCTGGCCGTGATTGAGAGGAGCATTAACCAATTAGAGGAACACATGGATCATTGTAAGAGTAAAAAAGATAGGTGAAAAAAATAACTGGGAGTAGATTTTGCTGAATCAACAAGGGAAGCATTAAATTTTGTGAATCTGAAATAAAAGAAGTAATTTATTTCCTTCTAAATGTTATGTGTTATGTTATATTAAAGATGACATTAGAGACATGCCCATGAAATAACTTTTAAAATTAAAGTTAAAAGTTAAAGTTTTTAATTATTGTTTAATTAACTCTCTGTTTTTTCAAACATTTTTCTTGTTCATGAGTGACCCTTCCCCTTGATACTTGCACTACACTGACCTGTTCGGACTGTCCTGGTTTGTGCTTGAGGGCCTCGGTGGTGCTCTGCGGCGCCGTGTGGCGGAGCAGGTTCAGGGCGCGCTCCGGCAGTTTGGTCGGCTGAGAACACGACTGTTGCCACGACGACAACTTCTGGGACAGGAGCTCCTTCACCTGATCAGAGGAGGAAAAAAACGTTTGACATTTACACAGACCACCAACAAAATCCTGGTTGGTGGTCTACATAATGACATACTAAGAACAAATTAACTAATAATTCTTCACAAACCTTTTACACTATGTAGGCTACCATTTAATTTAAAATGTGGCCTTCCAAGTATTACCCGACCAAAACCAATCAATCAGTCTAATCTAATAAATGAAAAACTGCACTGCCATGAGACTGCCTGACTCTTTCCTGATCCTGATCAGTCCTTCTGCTGCACTAAGACTACCCAAAGTGCTTAAATTGTGCCTGTTGTAAAGTTTATTGATTGATTGGTTAATTTTCAGTAATCCAAGTCTAAAACAGACCTACACCATTGGTAGATCTTCTAAATAAGTGTAAACTCAAATAAGAACAAAGTATTAGGGCTATTCTAGTCTAAATTAAGCAGACACTAAAACCAGAACTCACGTGTCGTATCACCACAAGCACAAACTTGATTGTGCTTGTAGGCCTATGTAAAAAAAAATTCTATGGTTTGTTTATTTTAGCTTTGTACAGTTGAGTCACCTTTGAGTGGTAGTTGATGAGTATTTTTGTGACACAGCACTGTCTGTCCACTAAGAAGCAGTATCGCCTCCTTTCCTCCGTCAGTGCCGACCTGTAACCCGTGGCAACCAGAGCGTCCAACTCTCCTTGGCGGCGGCTCATCAGCTCCACGAACTGAAGGCAGAGGTCAGAAACATTACACTGTGAAACCACTGTACCAGCTGAAAATGTACATGAAGTAAAGCTTTTTTTTTTTTTGCTGCATTTCAAATAAAATACCTACATGCATGTGACCTATCCTCCTCCAGCTTTTTAACCTAAAAAGTCTCAATCAAAATAATGTTTTTCTTAATGCGTCCTTAATCTAAGTGGTCTTGCATCTCCATAATCCTGACTCTTATTTGATCTGGAGGTGAAGTATGGTTTTAACTTTCTATTTCTATGGAGTCCAGATGAAATACCACCTTCAGAAAACTAAATACTGTACCTTTAACTTACAGAAACTGGTTTTCAACATTAATTGCCTGAACAAGCAACACAGACTTGTAATTCTATGACGTAAAAAAAACCAAACAAAAACATTTTAACTAATCCAAAAAAGATAAATATAGCAAATTCAAGCCATCTAAGGTTATGTCGTAATGTGTTTTTGCAGAAAGTGTAAAGCAAAGTTCACGCTGTGTGGCACAATAGGGTGACCTTTCGTATGGGACACATGATTTACAGTGCAACTAATGGAGTTGGTCTTTTATATGAGACCCGTTATAGCTTACTTTAACACTGCTTAAATCCACTCAGCCTCTTATAGGATTGGTATATTTGTGAATGAACCTTTTGTGCTTTTCTCTGCTTTACTTGTTCTTTGCTAAACTAATCTGCCCTCGTTTAATCACTGTTTTAATCTCTTATACGATGGACAGCTATACATAGATATAACCAGTTTGTTTCAGTGGACATGCTGTTGCTTTTGCTTGAATGTTTCAGAATGTGGCATTGAACGTACGTCTAGGTTGTATTCAATTACAGGTTTTGATGAATAGCTTGGAAAACGTGCATTCTTACTTCTATACACAAATCTGACCTGTAACTTGGCCTGGTTGTGACACTACTTTACTAAATGGAGATAAATAGGTTTAATGCCATACTGTGAAACATTCCAGGCACAGCTATACATAGTGCATCTTTAATCTTATGCTGTGTTTTTGCCTTACGGTGAGGTTATAGTTACCTGCATCTCGCGGTCTCCATATTTGTTCGGGTGTCGGCTGGCCTGGCTTTTCCTGCGGAGTTTCTTGAGTTGAGACTGACAACGTTCAATTGACTCTGATTTAGACCTGCGCTCGCCCTGGTACTTCTTCAGTGTTGCCTAAACAGAAAGAGATGTAAAACACATCAATCAATACTCTAATATGAAAACAGTTCATATCAGTTCTGCTATCAAATTTAGAGACTCATTATGCTGCTTTCTGATCTATGTTATAATGTTGATTCCTCATCACAAACACACCTGGAGTTGTGTTTTGTTTCAATCACATGTTTAAAACACAAATTCAAGTTCTTCCCTCAAACAGAAAAGACTCGGTTCCACCCTGTGATGTCATGTGGTAATACAGGAAGTGTTCCGATGTGTTTTTAAACTCCATAGATCTTCACTAGAATCGTTCAAATGATTTCAGCCCTGGAATTGCCAATCTCTACTGAACTAAAGGTAAAATGTAGCTGTTAACTTGAAATCTTGAAATCTACCACTACATGACATCAGAAAGTGGAACAGAGCATTTTGAGCTTTGGAGATGTAGACAAACTAATAATAAAGATTTACTCAAACATGTGTGAATGAAAGAAAACGCAACTTCATGTTGAGGAAGTAACAATATTCTAACATGGCTTAAAGCTCACAAGAGTCAATTTGTGTTATATAGGACCTTTAAAAAAATAGTGTCAGGTATTTCAGAAATATATTATTACCAACTAATACGCAAAATACAGACATATTTTACACAAAAAAATCAATACATTCATTGTGTTCATCAAAAGCCAATTTAACTTTCAAATAACAACAAAAATAATGTAGAATAGATGAATAACAAAGACATAATACTACTCGTGATAAACAAATGGGCAAAATATCTTTCTTTTTAAACAGCTGTATTGTCTTCATTATATTACATCAGAGTCAAAAAGGTAGTAGGATCTACATAACTTTTATTTTTTGCCAACTCCTTTTTGAATATTTGTTATTTTTTTTAACCTTTTTGGGTGTATTCAACACTTCAAGTCACTCACTCAATCAAACTTAACAAACAGCAATAATTAAAAACATAAAATTTTAATAACAGACCAAATAGATTAAACAGGATTTACTCTACAAGGTAAAGTAACTGATGGAGACTTACTGTGAGGTATTTGATGTCCAGCTCCAACTTCTGCTCCAGCTGAGCCAATAGTTCAGAGTGAAACAGCTTCAGCTGTGGAAAAAAACAACAACATTTGTTTATTGACCTTTACTTAACCAGGGTAGTTCTTTTTCTGGTGAGTCTAAACTCCAGAAGGGACCCTATTGTACATGTTTTAGTGGTACAGGAAACCAAAGCACCCAAAAGAAACCCACGCAGGCACAGGTAGAACAAACAAACAAACTCCGCACCACCCCAGAATCAAACCCAGGACCTTCTTGTTGTGAGGCTAGAGTGCTAACAGCTGTGCCACATGCCATCCTTAAAAACATGTGAGTGTTCACAGCAAGCAGGACAAAATACATGAAGAATATCCTCTTGTAACATATTATATGTTACACTATTTTAAAGACCTGATGTCAAAATCTGGTTTATGGTTAATGTCTCTGCAGTCTGTGTCTAACATATGAACTGGCACAAAGTTCAGTGTACACTCTGTTTTCACAATATTGCCAAAATGTAGTGATATCTGCACATAAACAGAAAGCTTGAGGACACTAGATCAAGTAATATTGCCAGATTATAAACAAATTCAACATGTTTTTTGTTTAGATTTTTTTTTTTTTAATAATTGTGCTTCACCCATTAAGTACTTAGTCTCTGTTCTCTGTTTGAAATAAGAACATTATCAAATTACAGAACATAAACACAACCTATTATAAATATAAAATGTATTATCTTACCACATCTTCCAGCTGCACTTGGATCTGTCTGTGGACTTCTGCCATTTGAAATAATGTGTCTCCTGTGAAGATTAAATAAGTTTTCTTAATAAAGGATTCCATTGTAGCTTTGGGATGGTTGACTAATTGAAGACCAGAAAGCTTGCAGAAGTTTACATTTTTCTACACAGCAAAAGATTTGTTCTAAATAGCAACATCTTTGTAATTGTGATCAGTTCAGTTCAGCTCAGGACATTTGCCCCTTGCACTGGTACCATAAATGAACCAGGACTAAACCAAATGGAAATCAGTGTTTGAAAAGACCCAGCCTGGTCAAACAGCAAACCAAACCACTCTATAATCAAGGCTATAGAACTAAACCAGGACTAAGCATAGTCTGTACAGGGTTAACTACAAGAGACTAACCAGGACTAAACCAGGCACAACCAGAACTAACCCAAATGGACTTCAGTGTTTGTTGAGTTTGTGTCAGTCCTGGTCTCACATCACAAACCCAGACTATACAAAATAACTAAACCACGACTATGCATGATCTTTTAATTTGTACTTATACATTTATATAATTATACCTTATTTAACACCTTGACCTGTCTCTTGCTACTTTTATGCTACTTATTTGGAATTTATTATCACCATTTATATTTTTTTACTCTTTGTTATTAAATTATTGTGATGTGTGAGCTACTGTGTCCAAATAATTTCCCTTGTGGATCAATAAAGTTTGTCTAAGTCTAAGTCTAAGTCTGAACCATGATCAGTGCACTATAGTTAAGCTTCCAGAATTACAACAGGACTAGCCTAAGACTAAAACCAGGACTTGGCTGTTGACCTCTTGTTGGACCCAAAGATCTTTTTGCTTGATACATTTCCTGATGGTCTTTCTCATGATTAATGTTTTCTGTTGCATCTTCTTCTGATGACTGCAAGAAAAACGATCATGATCTACTGGCTGAAACTTGAGACACTGACCATTGATCAGTGGATATCAAAAGTCAGACGTTTATACAGTTTAAACAATGGAACTTTTAATGCAGGAGTGTCAAACTCAAATTCACTGAGGGCCAAAAAACTGAGAAGTTGTGGGCTAAACTAAATATTTATTGAAAAATTTCAACAACATCTGCTGTTGTTTTCTCTTCTTTCGAAATATGTGTTAAACCTTTTCTTATTAAAATAAATGTTTAATAATAGTTTTGCTTAAACATTGAATCCAGAACAATCATAATATAAAATAATAAAACTATTTTAAATAAATAATGTCTCTACAGCCTATCTGTAGTCGGCGGGCCAGCTCTAATACATATTTGATATGATCTCAAAGGCCAAATATAATTATAATGTGGGCCAAATCTGACCCCCGGGCCTGAGTTTTACATGGCTAACATGGTTAACGTCTTAACTACATCTCAAGGTACTTTTGAAAAGAAGTGGGATCCAATTATTGACTTTTTCAAATAAGACACTTATGCCTTATTTTTTATTTATTTTTATTTTTTATCTATTGTTGTTATTTTTTCTTCTAGAAAAAAGGGGAAAAATAAATAAATAAATATACAAATTGTGTGAGGGCCCGGTCACAGAACACTGTTGATGAGAATTGATTTGAGGCAATAAAAGTTCAAAACCAAAACTACCCCGGATTAGGGTTTGTAAAGGCTATGCAGGCATAAACCAAGACTATACAAAGGAACTAAACCAGGACTAAGCATGCTCTGTAGTGTGGTTTAGAGGTCTAAGCTGTGATCAATGCAGTAGAGTTAAAATTCCAGAACTAAACCAGGTCTAAACCAGGATTTAAACCTGGAATTATCCTGGACTATACCAAGACTAAACCTGGACTAACCCGGATGGACCTCACTGTGTAAAGTCTGCGTAGGCCCTGGTCACACAGCTCATAGTATGCGGTGGTTGGCATGTGGCCCTCTGGCTCCTGCTGCCTCCCCCGCTGTTTGCAGCATTACAATGAGATCATGTGGTGTTGTTAATCTCTCAACAATGACCCCACTCACTCCACTTCCCTCTGTTCACTTTCTCTGGACCCTTCTTGTCTTCATCTCCTGCACTTTTATAAACACACACACACACAATGCTGTCAGCTTCTTCACAGATGCCAGAGTATCGTAAAGAAGACATATAGTGCTTTTATCTGCTATAGAGTAATAATCTATGACACCCATGAATCATTATGTTAGAATTTGGCCATTTTAAGTCTCAATATTGATCTAAGCAGCATATTTTTTTTCATTTGTACTAAAATGACTACATGGCGATGCCAAATCCAGCATGTATTTGTATGCACCAATGACGAAAATAAAACTGAAGAAAGAAGTAAAGAGCAATGTATTGGTGGCGGTGAAAATGGGAGTCAATCAGTGAATGCAATGAATGTCTTGAAGCAGCAGAGAATTGAAAAAAATAAATTAGTTACTCAAACATGGATGAATGACTCTAAATATTCAAGTATGTAAATGAGAAGGGAAACAACTATAACATGGTTTAAAGCTCTAAAGGTGATTTTGCATAGTAGGTCTCCTTTATCTTTTTTACCTCTTTTTTACCTTTACCTTTTGTTGTAAATACTTGTGTTTAGGGGTGTGCAAAAATATTGAAACATCAATATATCGTATCGTTTAATGTGATGATACAGTATCGATATCGGGGACTGCTGTATCAATATATCGCCAAGAGTATTTTTCTGGTATATTTTACTAAAAAATTTTGTTACAGAGCTATATTTGAAATATATCATATTGAATTGAAAGCTCACTGTATCGAGATATGTAACGTATCGGCAACTTTTTAATGATACCCAGCCCTACTTGTGTTTGTCTGGTAACATTAGTCAGGGTTTAAACCATCTTCAGTCCATGTTTAGTCCTGGCTTAGTTCTGGTGTACCTGCATATACTGTTATATGAACATTCCCATGGTATGTTTGTGTCCCAAAGGTGTCTTGTTGCCAATCTCTTACAAATAAAACAGCGTTCGGTCTATGCATTCACTTACCCAGTTCTTTAGAACCTTGGCTGTCACTGGCCAGTTCCCCAAGTTTTACCAAAGCATCAAAGTAGCCCTTGGCAGCCACTGTGACTCCTGAGAAATACAAGCGTTTGGGATGAGAATCAAACACAAGTTATATACAGGAGAAGGAGAAAAAAATACATTACATTTTAACTAACATTTCTTATCATTTACTGAAAAGTTTTCAAACACCTATATAGCAACAGTTTAATTGTAATTAATTGCATAACTGTTAAAAAATTAAGTCAGTGAAGCCTTTGTACATGTGATAAACAAAACTCACTTGTCAAGGTATTTTTATTCAAAGTGAAAAAACATGTACTAGTCTTATTTAAAGGTGCACTACGAATTCTTTCCCTATCAGCTTGTCTCCATGGAATGCTATAGTTTCATGAATGTTCCAGTATGGCATTAAATACACAGTATTTATCTTCCATTTGTTTCATTACAGATGTTTTTTTCCTTCTGCATTCTTGCTTTTACTGGGGCCCTGCTTGTGGCCTGCATCTCCAAGGAGACAAGCAAGTGGCCCTCCACCAGAAAGTTACATACTGCAGTTTTAATATTTCAGGTTAGTAATAATAAGGTGCTGTTTAACAAACCTGTCAGGGCTTTCTCGTAGTGTTTCCCCATGATCACAAAGTTCTTTAAACTGGGGTTGAACTGCTCCAAAATCCCCTGAAAAACACAACACGCGAATTTGGGTAGTACAATGAATCAAGATTTAATAGTAATAATAATTATTTCTCAAAACAATTGCAAAAAAGCAATAATAATAAATAAAAGTCTATAAACCAGTACTTTGAAACACAATTGACTCTTGTGAGTTTTCAGTCATGTTATAATGCTGTTACCTCATTAAAAACAGACCTGGAGTTGTGCTTTGTGTCATGTCATTCACACATCCTTTATTATTAGTCTGCCTACATTTCCAAAAATCAGAATGCTCTGTTCCACCTTGTTATGTCATAACTAGTTTTCAATTTAAAGCTACTTTTAACCTTTTGTTCAGTAGAGTTTGGCAAGTGTGGGCTGAAATTATCCAAATGATTCTAATGAAGGTGTATGAAGGTTAAAAACACAGTGGAGCACTTCCTGTTTTACCACATGATATCACAAGATTAAACAGCCTAATTAAACAGGATTTGTGTGTTAAACATGTGTGAATGAAACAAAAACAAAACTCCAGGCATGTTTTTGATGAGCAAATAACATTATAACAGATCACAAAATAGGGACATATGGCCCCTTTAATTGTGAATATTTACTGAAAATGCAACAAATTACTCAACAAATTCAACCAAAACCAACAGCTGTGTACCTTATAGACATTTTCAGTCATTTTGTTCACTTCTTCAGTCCGAGACATTCTTTCTTCTTAATTTTTTCTCCCAAATTCTGCTCAAAAGGTCCAGCCAAGAAGTTTAGGGTTTCAGTTGTTACAAACCTTCAAGATACAGAAAATAAAATGAAGCATAAAACAGTGATATTATGACAAACATTTACTGTGATAGGACTATTGTACATTCAAACTCAAACAAGACACATTTTAACAGGGGCTTGCTGTGTTTTTACTTGGATTGGTCCTCCTGGTTTTATCCTGTTTTAGTCCTGTTTAAGTCTTGGTTTAGCTTTGGAAGGAACACTACTAAGCAAAGCCTCTGAAGTACAGTTTCTAAAGTTTAATCAGTTTCACTGATGTTTTAACTAGAGCCAGACCGATATATCGGCCGGCCGATATTATCGGCTGGCCGATATTATCGGCCAATATGGGCACCTGGAGACATATCGGCTATCGGCCGATATGCTTGCTGATATGGGCCAATATTTCACGTGGGCATGTTATACCTCGTTATAAATCTTAGACTCTCTACATTATGTTCATATAATCCAATTTATAGACAGATAAATGTCCTAATATGTGGCTCCGCATCAGTATTTATTTGCGGTGTAATTTGTCTGTGTCCGTACTGTCCCTGAACACACCCCCAGAGTCACGTCACTTCACTCACGTGCTATTGTTTACACCCGCAGCGGTGCGCAACACTGAGATTATATTATTTTTACGGACAATCGTCTTGATTCTGGATTAAAAGGACTTTTATTGGTGCAAACTTGTGATGTGAGGAGGAGCCTGTGTGAGCAGTGAGTGTTGGAAATATGTTAACTTTGAAGCTAGTTAGCTGTTAGCTGCTGTAGCTCCCGCACATAAACAGGCTGTTTTCTATTGGCCTATTGTAAAGTGACTGTATTGTCCGTATATTTGCTACTGGACCTGCATTGATATGTAAATGAGCTGTGAATAGACGTGTGAATGATCCACATTATGCATATAATTAATTACCGCGGTGCGCACGTTTTTACGGCTAAAGGCTAATAGCGCTAGTTTACTAGCTAGGAGTTATGGGTCGGTCGCGATCGAAGCGGCTCTTAGAGCCGACTCTTTGAAGCGAACAACAGGAGCATGTTTCTTATTGGGAGCCGTGTTTTCTTTTTCTCACTTTTTCTCTTCAAGCCGCTTGTAGACCCGTAGTTTGACAGCAGCAGCGGCTGAAAACGAAACTTTCAGAAATATGCGTGTGCATAGGATTTTTTTTTTTTAAAGTGCATATTTGGCTGCAGTTCAGCATAAAATGAATAAACCAGGACTAATCTTGGTCTTGAGAGAGAGATAGAGACCGAGTCCCGACACTCAGTCCTGGTTCAGTTCTGGTTTAGTCCTGTTTCACACATGGTTTAAATCTGTTTTAGTCCTGGTTTAGTCCTTTTTCAGTCCTGGTTCAGTTTTAGTTTAGTCCTGCTTGCAACAAAACAATCTCAAGAGTCACTTGGGAGCCGAAAATGCCAGCTGCTTTAGTGAGCCGAGCCAAAAGAGCCAGTTCTCCAAAAAAAAAAAAACTGGAATACCCATCACTAGTAGCTAGAATGTGATGCAAAAATGCTATTAGGCCAATCTACTGTATGTAAATATG